CTGGCAGATCTCTTTTGTGTGTAAGATTGTGATGGGTAACCTTCGGGGAAGGTTATGCCGTCAGATCTTGTTTATGCAGGTGCATGTCTATAGGTGATGTGAGATTGTGGATGGCTATGCCGCCAAATCTCATAGATGCATCGGTTGTGGGTTATAGCATGGCTATGCCGCTAAACCTCGAGTGCATACTAACATGGTGGTGCGTAAGGCCCATATGTTGAGTATGACTCCGATGTGGAAAGATCACGGACGGCTGAGCCGCCAGATCTTTCGAGGTTCGTGTGGGTACTCTTCCGAGGCAAGGGAAGCTCTGCCGCAGAACCGAGGGTATGAGGCATAGTGGTGCGTAAAGGCCCATATGCTAAGTACTGAGAACATGTGGCGTGTCTAACCACATGTTGTTTAGGAAGGTGTAGTCAAGCGCATTCTCGCACGTCAGAGCCCAACCGGATTGGCAGCGTGGAGGCTGTGCATGAAGGGAGGAAGACTCGGAGGATAACCTGGTCAGCTGCCTTGGCCGAGTATGGTACCATATGACGATATGGGATCCAACCAGACATTGGCATGGTGCGCCAGTAAGGCCAATAGATGGGAGGATGAACCGGGTACCGCGATGGACTGTAGTGCCCGGGTGAAGGCGTTCATCTAGTTTCTGTGTGATTCCGGATGAGCGTGAACCTTCACAGGCGTGGGCTGAGAATGTGGCTTATGCACCTAGAGGCCTCACTGCATGTAGAAGTCAAGTATTCCGCTACTTGATTAGGGTTGCTTTGCATATAGATTGATTGTGTGCATTGCTTGATTGATTGATTGCTTGTTTGAGTGTTGTTATAGTCTTGGATTGATCGTACCTGTTCTTGTTTGATTGGGGTACGGTTAGTCTTAAGGCTATAGCAGCAATATTGCATAATTGCTTTGTGTTGCAGGTGGCGGATGAGATCCCGCCTTTTTCTTTTGGGGTTTGGGTTTGGGGAATAACCTTTGTATAGAGGGTCCTGAACTCACTGAGTAACATTAGGTTACTCATGATGATTATTTGTCTTACAGGTAGCTCGGAGTAGAATCCTGTGAACAGGAGGCAGAACAGTCGAAGACCGGAGTAGTTTGGTTGGCTTTTTGCAAAACTCGGTTTTCGGGTAATGTATGTATAATTATCTTTTGGCATTAGGCCGCAGCTGCAACATAAAGTATAAAATGTTTTGTAAGAATTTGTGTTACAAGTTTGATATATAAAAGAATGTTTTCTTTTAAACCCGGTTACTCAATGATAATAGGCTAGTCCAAGCCGACACAACTCAAGACCATGGTACGGGTTGCAAAGCCTTATGCTACGGTCGAGAGGGTCGGATTCACCGGACGGGCTGATCTAGACTTTGATTCGTTCTTTTTCTGGAACGGCCTATTTGATGAGTCTCGACAGTTGTGACATCTGTGGTTTAGTCTATGTCTATAGACCGAACTGGGGGTGTTACAAATGGTGGTATCAGAGCATGGTTCATGGTCATGCTCACGGGGCAACCGTTTTATCGAGTCAAAATGTGTCGCAAAAGCCAAATTAGGAATCCGGTCTGTTCTGCCTATTAGGATTAGATATTAAGTTGTCTACTAACTGGTTTCAGGATGTCGAGTCACGAGTGGTCGAGGGATTTATCATTGGGTCAGGGGGTGCCGGAGGAGATGAACGGGAGAGAGCCGTCAGACGTGGATATGCATGACATTCAGAGTCGACAATGAAGATCATGAGAGAACGCATGAGTACATGCCAGCACCTGATAGTCAAACCGACGATCTAGACTATGACTATTCAGAGAGAAGGGACTACTCTATGTCGCCTTACTCGTCCTCCATTCACACGCATGGGTCAAGACCTCAAAACTATCATCCATCAAACCCGCAAAGGAATCTGCAAACCAACCAGCCCAACAGGATGTTGAGGCAACGCCAGTAGCAGAAGGTCAAACGCAAGCCGATCCGACCTTATCAATGGTGCATAATCTCTTATCTCAAGTACTACATGAGCCATACCCGGTAACGGCAATGGAGTGCCGCCACCACCAGATTTTCTGAAGATAGTAACCACTATGAAGACGTTGGGGACTTACCACTTTGAAGGAGAGCCAGATCTTTACCAGGCGGACGCATGGCTACAAAGCATCGAAAGGAATTTCGCTGCAACTAGGTGTCCAATCAACTTCAAGAAGGACGTTGGAATCTACTATCTACGGAAGGACGCACTAAACTGGTGGGAGAGTGTGGATCGACAAAAAGGCCAGTATGTCAATACTTGGGAGAAGTTCAAACACGAGTTTGAGCAGAAGTATTTTCCACCAGAAGCACGGGATCGTCTAACTCAAGAATTTCTGAGATTGGAGCAAGGCGAGAAGAGTGTACGAGCCTATGAAGCGGAGTTTATGAGGTTACAAAGGTATGCCTCATACTGTAACGAGGATGATAAAGCCCTGGTGAGACAATTCATGCAAGGCTTAAAACCGGAGATAGGAGGTCGACTACAATCTGTCACTTTCACCAACCCTCATGAAGTGATAGAGAGAGCGGTGAATGTAGAGACATATCTACAAAAGGAGAAAGCGGCGTGGAACAAAAGGAAAATGGAGTTCAACGCAACAACCAAGTCAAAGAAGGGAGGTCAATCTTCTAATCAAGGAAAACCCCACAAGGGTAATCAGAAGTCTGGAAATGGAGATCGAGGATGCTACACATGCGGAGAAAAGGGACATTTCTCAAGAAATTGTCCTCGTTCCTTCATGACAACAGAATCTCTCATGCACGTCAGATGCTATCTTTGTGGCGAATTTGGGCATTACGCCACTAGTTGTCCCAACAGAGTTGTTGGAACAGCAGGAGGATCCGGCAAACAAAACGCACCACCCCGACCAATGAAAGAATCCCCGGCTAAGCGTCTAACTTCTTCGGGTAAGGTGTATGCTTTAGAAGCAGGACTGATGTGGAGTCAGGTTTTACCAAACTCCTAGACCTCTGCAAGTGCACAGATCGCGGAAGCATGGGTATCGAACACAAGGACTGGCTATTGAGTACACTTTGAATCTATGGATTTTGGATCAAGCTAAAATAAAATTATGATTGAGGTTGTAATGGTGAACCGAACTAGCAAGTATAACGAGGTTGTAAATCAATAAAGGAAAAGCGCTAGGTCATAGGGGCTATCGCAGAGAAGCAAGCAATGATCAATGAAACAATGATAGATTAATTGATTAGGGATATTGGGATATTAAGAACCATCTAGAACACAGATCACGAATATAAAACCATTCAACTTTCGAGGCTCCGGCTCCTTTGTTAATCTACCTTTTTGCTTTTATTTTTGTTTTTCACTTTAGATTTAACTTGTTTCCAAGACTCTTTTCAGGTGCATGACTAGGAGGTCCAACAAGGACAACCTAGTTGAACATCCAGAGATAGACAAGCTTGAGAAGCAACTTAGGAAGCAAAAGCCCAAGAGATGGCCGACGAAGCAGCTCGCGCTCACGCCGCTGAAGTGGCGCGCGCTCAATGAAGAAGGAAGAGATCCACCTCCTCCTCCTCCTAACCCTGCTGGAGATGTGAATGCACAACCCCAAGCTGGAGCACCTACAATCGGAGACTATGACTCTGCCGATGCTTTCTTCATGGATAGAAACCCTATCCATCCACCACTTCCTGCAAGGAATGACTATGAGATCAAGCCTCAGATCATTGCATTGGTTAGACAGAACCAATTCAATGGCCTTCCAGCTGAGCACCCTCTTGATCACATAGAAAACTTTGAAGAAATTTGCAGCACTACAAGATCCAATGGAGTCTCTGCTGACTACCTTAAGTGCAAGCTCTTTTCATTCTCTCTTGGCGACAAAGCTTCAAGATGGTTGAAGTCTCTGCCAGCTCACTCCATTACCACTTGGGATGAGTACAAGGCTGCATTCATCAACCACTTCTACACCAAACAAAGATCAATTTCTGTGAGGAACAAGATCTCCACTTTCGCCAAGCCAACAATGAGTCTTTCTATGAGGCGCTAGATCGATTCAAGGAGTACATTAGGGACTGCCCTAATCATGGTTTCAATGAGGGAAACCTATGGAACATCTTCTATCGTGGCATTGACCACAAGTACAAGCTTTCATTGGACACAGCAAGCAATGGAAACTTCATGACCAAGACTGTTGATGAAGCTAAGGTTCTTATTGAGAATCTTGCAGCTAGTGATTGTAACAACTGTCCTGATTATGACCGCTCAAGCCGCACCACTACTAGCTCCCCTGATTCTTTTCAAATGACTGAACTCAAGAACATGATGGCTCAAGTTCTTAAGGGACAGCTCAAGCATATCAATGCAATAGAAGGGATGAGTGATGCTAATGAAGATTCATCAAGAGAATGCATGGGAGATTTCTCTAATGAAGCCAATGAAGAAGATGTGAACTACATTGGAAACTATGGGAACAAGGGATACAATCCAAGCTATCGCCCAAACCCCAACATGTCTTATAGAAACCCCAATGTGGAGAATCCTCAAGACCAAGTGTATCCTCCAAGGTATCCACAACAACAAAGACCTCCTTACCAATCTCAAGGAAGTCAATTTCAGCCAAGGCAAGGATATGAGCAGAGATCATCATATCCGCCCAAGGAGCCATATGCTTCTTCACCAAATCAAGCTCCTCCAAACCAACAAGGTGGGAGATTTGAAGGAATCCTCCAACAGATCATGGATGGCCAGAAGAGAAACACTAAAGAGATGTATGAGAAGATGGACACTTTGTTCAGCAATCTCAACACCAAGTATGATGCTGTTGCCACTCATGTGAAGAAACTAGAGACTCAAGTCACTCAAACTATGGAAGCTGTTAAGAGACAGGAAGCTGAATCCAAGAAGTCCTTTTGCAACTCAGCCGCCATAGAAGAAAGATTTGAAGACCAAGTTCCAGAATGGATGCTTTCAAAACCTACTGTTGATTGCATGATTTGGCCTGAAGAGAATTACCCAGAGAGAGAGTCCAATCGAGCTAGAAAGAGAAGACTCTTCCCAAAGATTATCCCCAAGACAGATAACTCAGGAAAGTTTGTTGTGCCTTGTATCATCAAAGGTAACATTCTTGAGCAATCTTTGTGTGACACAGGAGCCAATGTGAACATCATGTCTAAGAGGATAGCTGACAAGATAGGCCTCACCAAGATAGAGCCATCATCCATCTCCATCAACTATGCTGATTCATTCTCACAAACCCCTATGGCTTTGTGCCTAATGTGATGGTGCAGATTGGAAATTGCTCTATCCCTACTGATTTCCAGATTGTGGAAATGAGAGAGAGTAGCCATAGACCTCTCATATTTGGAACCCCTTTCCTGTCTACTGTGGGTGCCATATTTGATTTCCCCAATCAAAGAATCTCTTTCAACAAGGTGAACAAGGGTATGTTCTTCCCTATGTGTTCAACAAAGAACTCTTTTGTTGACATGGTCCAAGAGGAGAAAGTTACTTTGAAGCCACCCCAAGAAGGAGAAACTGAAGAACAATCAAGGAAGATCCCATTCCTAAGCCCAAGCAGCTTGCCAAACAAGCAAGGAGTAAGACTAAGGCCCCTACACCAAAACCGCCCAAGGGATCAACCAAGATTGAAGATGAGGCCAAGCCAAGAAGAAGGTTAGAAAGCCTAGGTCTGGCCGCATGAACTATTGAGGAGCTTATTGATGAGAATCTAGAAGGATTCAGAGGACAAGAACTCTAAATTGATGCCAAGACATCATAGTCTAAGCTGTGGATTCAAGGAGAAAGACTTGGAGGATCAAGACTCTCTATCTTCTCCTAAGTGCCAAGCCTTACAGTCAAGCTAAAGACTTAAAACAAGCGCTGCATGGGAGGCAACCCATGAGGTACTTTTACTTTTCTTTCTTTAAATTTCTTAGTTTTTGTTTTGCTTTTGTGTTTTCTTTGTTTTAAGATAGGATAGAAGGAGAAAAAGGTGTGAAAACACAATCCGCGCCAAACCATTGGCCGCGGACGCGCAAAAGAGAATTTTGGCCGAGCAATTCCAACCGGGCCGACCGTCACGGTCGAGCCGGGAAGGAATGGCTTGTGCTCGGCCGGATTACTATCGCGCGACAAAACGTTCGCGCGACGCACGAACAGGGAAAGGTAGGCCGCGATCGGCCGATTTTCGTATCGGAACGGACCGACCGTGCCGGTCGATCCGGGAAACAACGATCGGCCTCGGCCGAAATCTCTCGGCCAAACAAAATTTGGCCGACCAAATCGCTCGACCGCGACAAAATCCATCGGCCATCGGCCCAAACTTTTCTCGGCCAAGGTAAGTCCCCTTTTCATTAATTCAAACCGGTTTTAACCAATCTAAACCAACTTAAACCGGTTTTCAATCAAAATTCGAATTTGAAAAGGAAAATTGATAGGATTTGAGCTTTATACTTTACCTTTCCCTTGAAAACAACAAGAACCTCTCTTTCTTCTCCAAAACCCTAAACTCCATTAGAGGAACTCTAAGAGTTTTGATTTCAAAACTTTTACTGTTCATAACTCTAAATTGGAATTTACTTGCTCTTGCAACCCTTATTCACTTTTCAACACACAAGGTATGTCTTCTAACTCTAATCCTATGTTTATGCAAGATCGAAATTCTCAATAAGTTTCTTGTTTGGTCTAAACTCTTGTCTAAACTTGAAATTACCATCCTTATAGTCTTGTAATGAACTTAGCTAGGTGGAACCTAGGTGGTTTAGAGTTAATTTGAAGTTTAATTTCACAATTGAATAGTTTTTCACAAAACTTATTGGGCATTCCAAACCCCTTATTCAAAGGTGAAATTGCTTAGGCATACTTCAATTCATTAGTTTATCTAGTGATTACTTGGATTAGAAACTCAATTTCTCTTGATTTGCTGAAAATTTCGATTTTAAGCACCATAATCTTGGGATGAACAGTAAAATCCGAAAATTAACTTTGAAAAAGTGAAATTTCCATTTTTGTCTCTTTGATTCATGATTAAGCCTTGAGTTGTTCCTTTATTCCATATCATTATTACAACTCAATTAGCTTATTCTTCTTTTGCATTAATCACAAACTCATATTTCTTCCCAAGAATTTGCTCTTGTAGGTACCCAATGGCAAAGACAAAAGGAAATGAGAGTATGAAGAAGAAGAAGAACCCATTCATGGAACCACCAAAGAAGCAAATCAAGCTAGGGAGTAGTAGCTCCAATGCAAGAGCAGCAATACCAACTTCACCACATTCCATTGATGCAAGTCAAGAACATGTGGAGAGTCCAAGAAGAGAAGATGATTGGGCACTTGTAACCTTTGTTGGAGAACAAATCCAAGACCCAAGAAAGTGCAAGAAGGCAATGGAGAAGGTGAACATCGAACCTTGTGTGAAGATGGACACCCAAACCCTTGACCTTCTCAAGATAAGAGATGATGTCACATGGTACATAAGGAAGCTAGGCTTGAGCAAGCTCTTCAAGCTAGAATGTAGTGAGTACTCACAACTCACCAAGGAGTTCTCTCCACAGTAGCTCTTGCCTTTCCCAACCACAATGGAGACCAACCAGCTGGTGATGGACTCCTACTCTTCAAGATAGGCGATGCCAATGGGCGCATCTCCATCTCAGCTCTATGCCAACTCTTTGGACTTCCCAATGAGACAGCACATGACTTCAAGGAGAACTCAAAGAGGAAACAAGCTGCCTTTGCTGATTGGACACACTTTGCCAATGAACCATTCTTGCCTTCAAGATCAAAGGTGTCTAGAATCACCCATCCAGCCATTCGCTATGTGCACCGCCTCATCTCCACCACTTTCCAATGCAAACAAGAAGCCAACAAGGTCACAACTGATGAGTTCTACATCCTCACCACACCATTCATCAAGCATGAGTACAAGGCCAACCTTGGACTTTTGCTTGCCAAGACATTCATCAATCATGCAGTCAAGACTCAACGCCGCGTCCAAGAACGCCATGTTCTCACTACTGGCATGGCCGCGCATCAAGCTCTAGACCGTGTTAACAAGCTGGAGAAGATCGTGGAGTGCCAATCTCGCTTCATCTCACGCCTATCCGTGTAGTTCGCCACATTGCACCGGAGAGACTCTTTCGCCCTTCTTCCACCGCTAGAGAGCCATATGAGCCTGACCTTGGTGAGTTCTCACTAGACTCAGAGCTTGGTTCAGAAGGCGATGACCCCATAGATGAGGAAGAGAGTTCTTCTCACTGCCACACATAGTCATCTCAAGTGGTACTTAGTGCAATGGACACTTACAAATCTCCATTTTCTATCCCTATCTCATTTTAATGAATTTCTTTATTTTTCTTTTACTTTGAATATTACCTCTCACCTTAATGTGATTTGCTTTCACCGGGACGGTGCAAGTTAAGTCTGGGGGGAGTTTTATTGTGTTACTAATGCATTTTTCTTTCTTTTCTTATGTTTTATTACTTTGTTTCATGTTTTTCAAAAAGTTTTATTGAGTCAAAAACCAGTCCGGAAGTTATGAACTTGCTTTGAGAATTGAGAGTGTTGTGCTAACAATCCATGACCCTAGAGCAGAAACCAGCTAAAGGCACAAGCCTAACAGAAGCTCTTACAGTGGATCGACATGCTAGCTCAGCAAAATTTCTAAGGTAACCAAGCAATCTAGAGTTAACCTCACCTTAATCAATCTTAATACTCTTGTCAAGGGGGTTGGCATACATGTCGACAGTTCCTTGCTTGATTTTCAATAAGATTTGTCTAATCTTTAAAGAGTTCTCCTCTCTCTCCCATCCCAAATGGTAAGTAATGTTTATGAGAAAAAGCTCAAAGAGCACAAGGAAAACAAGTAAGCATGAGGAATGCATATGTCTGTACCTTCATGTCTTATGGAATACCTTAGTCAAACAAGGAACAAGCTAAAGACTTATCCTGTGGTTGAAAGAAGGGTCAATAGAAAAAATAAAATGATACCCTAGAAAAGTAGGGAGAAATTGACCTTTCAAAGTTCTGATGTGAGAAAGAGAGAGGAAAAGAACTCATTGCACTTAAAGAGGCAATCTTGGAGAGATCAAGTGGGTAAGAACAAGTTCAATTGATCGATGTCCCCTTGATAAAGAACTCACGCTTTAAATTTATGCAAGAGGTTAGCAATAGAGAGTTTGGATTGCTGGATGAGACTAGTTGGGTTGGTATTGTTCGCTAAACTTGCAGGGTGTATGTGAAGCTAACCTTATGTTGTCTATGTTCATAGTGGAATACAGGAAAGGAACCTTTCACAGGATATTCAAAAGAGCAAGGGAGTTCCACGTTTTCAAACCTCTTTCACGGATTTAGATTCTTTTTGCTTGAGGACAAGCAAAGATCTAAGTCTGGGGGAGTTGATATACCTCTAATTTACCCACTTTTTATACTGTTTTAGCATTGTTTTCTAATGGTTTTTGGCAGGTTTTCTATCTAAAAAGGTAGTTTTACTGTGTTTATAGTGTCTAGAGTCTAAACAGGTGAAATGATGCATTTTGGAGCAAAACCATAGGATTTGCACTTCAAGCCGCTCCATGCACAAGCACCAACTTTAAGAGGGCCCAGAAAAAGATCTACTCAATGGATTTGACTCCACATAAGTCGTCTAAAAGTTGTGAGTTCCAGTAGCTAGGTTATAGTTTATTTCCTTCTATCGTTTAATAAGTATGTGGTATAACTCTCTAAACAATAATGTTTAGTAAAAATTGTGGAGAGTTATGCTGCAGAAATTTCTGTGAGGTTGTGACAGGTAATCTTCTAGAGAGAGAAGTTATGCCGTCAGATCTCTTGTGTTGTGAGGTTGTGTCAGGTAACCTTCGGGGAAGGTTATGCTTTCAGATCTCTTTTGTGTGTAAGATTGTGATGGGTAACCTTCGGGGAAGGTTATGCCCTCAGATCTTGTTTATGCAGGTGCATGTCTATACTTTCGGTGATGTGAGATTGTGGATGGCTATGCCGCCAAATCTCATAGATGCATCGGTTGTGAGGTTATAGAATGGCTATGCCGCTAAACCTCGAGTGCATACTAACATGGTGCGTAAGGCCCATATGTTGAGTATGACTCCGATGTGGAATGATCACGGACGGCTGAGCCGCCAGATCTTTCGAGGTTCGTGTGGGTACTCTTCCGAGGCAAGGGAAGCTCTGCCGCAGAACCGAGGGTATGAGGCATAGTGGTGCGTAAAGGCCCATATGCTAAGTACTGAGAACATGTGGCGTGTCTAACCACATGTTGTTTAGGAAGGTGTAGTCAAGCGCATTCTCGCACGTCAGAGCCCAACCGGATTGGCAGCGTGGAGGCTGTGCATGAAGGGAGGAAGACTCGGAGGATAACCTGGTCAGCTGCCTTGGCCGAGTATGGTACCAGATGACGATATGGGATCCAACCAGACATTGGCATGGTGCGCCAGTAAAGCCAATAGATGGGAGGATGAACCGGGTACCGCGATGGACTGTAGTGCCCAGGTGAAGGCGTTCATCTAGTTTCTGTGTGATTCTGGATGAGCGTGAACCTTCACAGGCGTGGGCTGAGAATGTGGCTTATGCACCTAGAGGCCTCACTGCATGTAGAAGTCAAGTATTCCGCTACTTGATTAGGGTTGCTTTGCATATAGATTGATTGCGTGCATTGCTTGATTGATTGATTGCTTGTTTGAATGTTGTTATAGTCTTGGATTGATCGTACATGTTCTTGTTTGATTGGGGTACGGTTAGTCTTAAGGCTATAGCAGCTATATTGCATAATCGTTTAGTGTTGCAGGTGGCGGATGAGATCCCGCCTTTTTCTTTTGGGGTGTGGGTTCGGGGAATAACCTTTGTATAGAGGGTCCTGAACTCACTGAGTAACATTAGGTTACTCATGATGATTATTTGTATTACAGGTAGCTCGGAGTAGAATCCTGTGAACAAGAGGCAGAAGAGTCGAAGACCGGAGTAGTTTGGTTGGCTTTTTGCAAAACTCGGTTTTCGGGTAATGTATGTATAATTATCTTTTGGCATTAGGCCGCAGCTGCAACATAAAGTATAAAATGTTTTGTAAGAATTTGTGTTACAAGATTGATATATAAAAGAATGTTTTCTTTTAAACCCGGTTACTCAATGATAATACGCTAGTCCAAGCCGACACAACTCAGGACCATGGTACGGGTTGCAAAGCCTTATGCTACGGTCGAGAGGGTCGGATTCACCGACGGGATGATCTAGACTTTGATTCGTTCTTTGTTCTGGAACGGTCTATTTGATGAGTCTCGACAGCTGTGACATATGTGGTTTGGTCTATGTCTATAGACCGAACTGGGGGTGTTACAAATGGTGGTATCAGAGCATGGTTCATGGTCATGCTCACGGGTCAACCGTTTTATCGAGTCAAAATGTGTCGCAAAAGCCAAATTAGGAATCCGGTATGTTCTGCCTATTAGGATTAGATATTAAGTTGTCTACTTACTGGTTTCAGGATGTCGAGTCACGAGTGGTCGAGGGATTTATCATTGGGTCAGGAGCAGTCTTCACTCGTTTGGTTGTAACTCCGTTTCTACTCATCCAAATTAGGCCGTTCCAGTTGCGTTGGAAAGTTAACTCAATCCGAGAACGCAGGGAACTGGTCTTGATGAAATCCATTGAGGAGAACGTTTTCTGGGCCCTCTTAAAGTTGATGCGGGTATATGAAGCGGCTTGAAGTGCAAATCCTATGGTTTTGCTCCAAAATGCATCAGTTCACCTGTTTAGACTCTAGACACTATAAACACAGTAAAACTACCTTTTTAGATAGAGAACCTGCCAAAAACCATTAGAAAACAATGCTAAAACCGTATAAAAAGTAGGTAAAATAGAGGATATCAGGGAAAAATTGAACTTAATCGAACTAATGCTTGATTTAATCACCTAGGGACATACCAAAAGTTTAGCGACTAGGGAGATTAACAAAGGGGTCGGAGCCTCGACAGTGGAATGATCATACCATAGTGTTTCAAGTTCTAGATTAGCACCTAATTGCAGTAACCCTAATTGATTGATTTCTTGCTTCATGAATTGCTTATCTTAAGACTATCCTATTGCTTAGCCCTCTTCTCCTATTGATTTCATTATCTAATACTTGCATGCCTTTACTTTTACTGCACTCAACCAACTCTATACTGTTTGCCCTAGCTCGATCTCGATCTTATAGTTTGTAGTGTGCAATCTGGTCCTCGTGTTCGATACCCGTTTACTACTTCTGACCTGTGCACTTGCAGAATCAGGGATAGGAAAGGGGAAGACCTGATCCCGCGATCAAGTTTTTGGCGCCGTTGCCGGGGACCAATTCGCACCTACAAGCTCTTGCAAGAGAGCTAGTCTAGGGTTCTTTCTTTTCCTTTTTGCTTTTGTTATTTTTCCATTTTCTTTTGATTTGGTTTTCCTTTTTGTTTTGAGCTTTTTTAGGTTTTCCTAATTAGATATGGAGAAGGATTCACAAGTCCTTGCTCCTATAAAGGCGATCCCACTTCGCCAAATACCACCTCAAAGAGACCTCTTGGACGAGCAAGAGATGTCAAGCCCTCAAGCACCACCACCTTCTTGGGATAGTCCTCCAAAACTATCTATCTTGAAGACCAAGAAGAAACTTCTTCCTTACCTTGAAGCAGCCGACCTGGAGACGTCTAGCAAGCTGCATCTTACAGAGAAGAGCACCTTCTAGCCACACCAGAAGAGGAGATTGACCCTGAACTGATCGAGTTCGTGAAGAGAGATCAATTCCATGATCTATTTTCAGAGTATGCGCTGGAGCATATAGATCACTTTGATAATCTTTGTGATTCTTATGGAGTTTTTGACTTTGAGAAGAAGATGATGCTATTCAGCACATCACTAGCTGTGTAATATCCCTCATGCTAGCTAAGCACGGTCAAGACAGAGACGGGACAGACGGCCAGAAACGACCATCCCACTACACGGAGGATCCATCCCATGACAAGCGCAAGGAACGCAAATGTCCCGGGATAGAGGTTTCCCGCACATTTCCAAGCAGCTATGTGGAAGCTCAGAAACATGGAAATGACGGAAGAATTAAAATAAGAGATTTTATTCTCAAGCACGACGGGACGAAACCCTCCAGTCAAGGAAACGTACGAAACCCTCCGTACAGGAAACGTACGAAACCTTCTGCAAGAGGAAACGTAGAAGGAAGCACAAGGCCAATGGAATGGCGACACCAGCTACTTATCAAGGATAAGTTCAAGCTAACCAATCAAGTATGGGCACTCAGCTGCTCATATGGGACGAAAATGTGTTGCACCAATCAGGTGTGAGCACTCAGCTGCTCATGAGAAGACAGGAATGTGTTGGACGAATCAGGTCTAGACACTCAGCAGCTTGTTGATCTGATCAACAATGAGCCAATGGAAGGAGCCACTTGATCCAGGAAGATAGGATCAAGGAGGAGATGCTCATCCTCAACGAACCAATCACGTTCAGCTACCCAGCAGCTTGGGGAATGGACCAATGGGAAGGTGCCATTCGACTCAAGTGGATTGGGATGGAAGAAGCTGCTCCAGGCGTGCAGCCATGCCATTGGTTGCATGCGGAAGCGAGGTGTCGTGTTCTGAAGCCATCAGACGCCACCTCGAGCTTCCGAAAAACCTATATAAAGGCCCCCTTGGTCTTCATTTCCAAACCACACCACAAACTGAAATCTAGAGAGAGAAACTAGAAAGAGAAAGTGAGAGGGCGTGGAGGAGAAGAGAAAGAAGAAGAAAGAGGAGAAGAGAAGAAGATCCAGAGGCGGATCAGCATCGGGCTAGAGCGGGGAGGCTAGGGTCGGGGTCAGCCGGGTCGTCTAAAAGTTGTGAGTTCCGGTAGCTAGGTTATAGTTTATTTCCTTCTATCGTTTAATAAGTATGTGGTATAACTCTCTAAACAATAATGTTTAGTAAAAATTGTGGAGAGTTATGCTGCAGAAATCTCTGTGAGGTTGTGACGGGTAATCTTCTAGAGAGAGAAGTTATGCCGTCAGATCTCTTGTGTTGTGAGGTTGTGACAGGTAACCTTCGGGGAAGGTTATGCTGGCAGATCTCTTTTGTGTGTAAGATTGTGATGGGTAACCTTCGGGGAAGGTTATGCCGTCAGATCTTGTTTATGCAGTGCATGTCTATACTTTAGGTGATGTGAGATTGTGGATGGCTATGCCGCCAAATCTCATAGATGCATCGGTTGTGGGTTATAGCATGGCTATGCCGCTAAACCTCGAGTGCATACTAACATGGTGGTGCGTAAGGCCCATATGTTGAGTATGACTCCGATGTGGAAAGATCACGGACGGCTGAGCCGCCAGATCTTTCGAGGTTCGTGTGGGTACTCTTCCGAGGCAAGGGAAGCTCTGCCGCAGAACCGAGGGTATGAGGCATAGTGGTGCGTAAAGGCCCATATGCTAAGTACTGAGAACATGTGGCGTGTCTAACCACATGTTGTTTAGGAAGGTGTAGTCAAGCGCATTCTCGCACGTCAGAGCCCAACCGGATTGGCAGCGTGGAGGCTGTGCATGAAGGGAGGAAGACTCGGAGGATAACCTGGTCAGCTGCCTTGGCCGAGTATGGTACCATATGACGATATGGGATCCAACCAGACATTGGCATGGTGCGCCAGTAAGGCCAATAGATGGGAGGATGAACCGGGTACCGCGATGGACTGTAGTGCCCGGGTGAAGGCGTTCATCTAGTTTCTGTGTGATTCCGGATGAGCGTGAACCTTCACAGGCGTGGGCTGAGAATGTGGCTTATGCACCTAGAGGCCTCACTGCATGTAGAAGTCAAGTATTCCGCTACTTGATTAGGGTTGCTTTGCATATAGATTGATTGTGTGCATTGCTTGATTGATTGATTGCTTGTTTGAGTGTTGTTATAGTCTTGGATTGATCGTACCTGTTCTTGTTTGATTGGGGTACGGTTAGTCTTAAGGCTATAGCAGCAATATTGCATAATTGCTTTGTGTTGCAGGTGGCGGATGAGATCCCGCCTTTTTCTTTTGGGGTTTGGGTTTGGGGAATAACCTTTGTATAGAGGGTCCTGAACTCACTGAGTAACATTAGGTTACTCATGATGATTATTTGTCTTACAGGTAGCTCGGAGTAGAACCTGTGAACAGGAGGCAGAACAGTCGAAGACCGGAGTAGTTTGGTTGGCTTTTTGCAAAACTCGGTTTTCGGGTAATGTATGTATAATTATCTTTCAGCTGCAACATAAAGTATAAAATGTTTTGTAAGAATTTTTGTTACAAGATTGATATATAAAAGAATGTTTTCTTTTAAACCCGGTTACTCAATGATAAGAGGCTAGTCCAAGCCGACACAACTCAAGACCATGGTACGGGTTGCAAAGCCTTATGCTACGGTCGAGAGGGTCGGATTCACCGACGGGATGATCTAGACTTTGATTCGTTCTTTGTTCTGGAACGGCCTATTTGATGAGTCTCGACAGTTGTGACATATGTGGTTTAGTCTATGTCTATAGACCGAACTGGGGGTGTTACAAATGGTGGTATCAGAGCATGGTTCATGGTCATGCTCACGTGGCAACCGTTTTATCGAGTCAAAATGTGTCGCAAAAGCCATATTAGGAATCCGGTCTGTTCTGCCTATTAGGATTAGATATTAAGTTGTCTACTTACTGGTTTCAGGATGTCGAGTCACGAGTGGTCGTAATATCATCTGGTTTCAAAAACCTCTCTTTTATGTTTGATCACTCATCTGTTCACTTGTTGTGCGTAATATCATCTAAGTCTACATATTTCCCTTTCACTTGTTGTGTGTAATATCAACAAGTCGAAGGTGTTGTTAGAGATTCAATTCCGCGGGATCTCTAGTATAAGCCACTCGATCCACCCTTCGTTCCATATTTCATCATTGGTTCTTTTGAGTTCCAATCCACTCAAACACTTAGCTTTCAAGCCGATCTAGTCCAGGGGCGTATCAGTTGGTATCAGAGCTCCTTAAAGCTAAGTGATCTCGATTTTTATGATTATAACTGTTCATCTTCCAAATCTGAGAATCGTAGATCTTGAATATGATTTTGCTTTGTTGTTGTGCCGTTGATCATTTCATTGTTTCCATTGTCATATCCTTCACATCCAATTCTTGTCTACTCATCAAGGTTACTTTTAGATCATTTTGAAATCATTTGTTCATCATCCATCACTTGTTTCATCATCCATTTGATCATTCTCGCCCATCACAGCCTTTTTAATTTATTCTATAACTTTAATAATTTTGCCACAATTTATTCTGATCATTTCCGCATAGATCTGTCATCTCTGAGTGGTTGCATAATTTTTAAAATTATTTCTATGATTTTTAAAATTGTTGCAATAATATTTCCTTTGAACTTTTGACTGCCGCGGTTTTGGTTTGAATTTCAGGTACCATGGCGATGGACAAGGAAGAAGGATCCAGCGGTGTTGGAGAGGCTTTGCTTGATCAGATCAAGAAGATGATGGCGGACGAGTTTGATCGGAGAGAGCAGATCAAACAAGGCAAGAGGAAGGAGACTAGGAATCCGATCCATATCTCCGATGGAGACAAGAGGAACGATCCCATGGCATCTCATGGTCTCGGAGACGACCAGGCCCATGCCTACTACGGCAGCGGTCATTCCTCTCACTCAAGCCGGCGCCGAGCCAGAAGGCAGCGAGAAGAGCCCAACCGTATGGTTGAGAACTTGGGCGGCTACAAGATGAGGATTCCACCATTTCATGGCCGAAACAATCCGGACGAGTACATGGATTGGGAAAAGAAATGCGAGTTCAACTTTAACTTGCACAACATCATTGGAGACAACCGTGTCAAGCTAGCCGTCTCGGAGTTCAACGATTATGCGTTGAGATGGTGGGAACAAATCACTTTGGCTCGCGAGATTGGTGGTGCCTTTGAGGTTACTACTTGGGAAGAAATGAAGCGCATCATGAGGAAGCGATTTGTCCCTGGCCATTACCAACGAGAGCTACACTCCAAGCTCAGGAAGCTTACTCAGGGTTCCAAGTCCGTGGAAGAATATTACCAAGAGATGGAGGTAATGCTTCTGTGCGCCAATGTGGTTGAAGATCGCGAGGCCATGATGAAAGGTTTTTGTGTGTGGATGTGAAAAGATATGATATGAGATGAGTGGAATGCAATCAGTGGTATATGATGGTGGTAAGATGCAAACACAAACACAATCAACAATTCCCTTTAACCATGATAGTTGTAGTACAAAGGGTTATCAATCCAAAATGGGAAACTTGTCACTCTATGAGAATATGAAACAACCAGGAAGTCAAGCAAGCAGTTATAGATTTGAAGTAACACTAACAACCTAAGAAATGAAATGCAGTGCAATAAAAGTAAAGAAAGCAGTGAAGTGCAGCTCGACCAAGAGCTCGAGTCGAGCTAGAGCAAAGTACCAGCTCGATCGAGTTTAGGGACGAGTTGAGACAAACAAAGCTAAAGGTGACGACTTTAACAAGATAAGAGAGAATTAGGGTTCAAGACAGGGTTTTGCAATCAAAGGAATCTACACTTAATCAATCTAGCTCTTAAAACTCCTTGTATCAAGGCTTCTCTTGATATTGGGCTTCTCAATGCCTAGCCAACCCTTTCCCAAGGTGGAGGCTATCAACCAAGGAATGATCTCAGAAACAGGGGGTTAGCCAGTGAGAATCAAACCTTGGAGGCTATAGGATCATTGCCCAAACTAATCCATCCAACCCCTTAGACCTCTATTGTCTAGAGCAAGAGATATTGGAGCTCTTAGTGGATCTTTTCCAGCGAATGCCATCACTTCGTGTGGGGAGTCGCCTAAGGACTTACAAGCCAGGGGTAGTGGTCATGTAGCCTTAAGATCTATCCAAAAGAGAGAGAATCTAGATTAAGACCATAAGCTAGAAGGATTAAGCATATGAAACCTCTAATCTATCCCATCTCAAACCCTAATGGGTAACTACTCACTACACATGAATGTAAACACAAGCAAATGCAATAAAAGAGACATCATAAGAAAGAGGAGATGAAATTAAACAACTTTTATTGAAATAAGCAAGTGCAAATACAAAGAGATTAATCCAGGATCTAAGATTCAAGAAGCAAGAGCTTCAAGAACACAAAGATGGGATTAGTTCTAAAAGTAAAGACAATAAAATTAAAGAAAGCTAAAACAAAATAATTTTTCGTGGCTTTTAGCCTTTAAATACAAAGAGGATTAGGTTTAGGGTCAAAGGAAAGTCAAGGGGGAAGCAACATTTTTCGGGTTTGACTTTGACTCCCCAGCTCGATCGAGTTGAAGCTTGGCCGGTCGAGTTGAGGAACTCGACCGGTTGGTCGAGTAGACGGTCGAGCTGGTCTTCAAGATGGCTTCTCCCTTCTTCCTTTGCGTATCCAGTTGAGCTGCTTCCATGTGCCAAGTCCCTCCATGCTCCTCATGTCCCATATGCTCCAGAATGCTCCAAAAGACCTATTTCAAAGGACCAAACATGCATATGTATGCAAATGCAACCTAAAACTAACATGAATGCATAAGAAGAGAAAAGGAACAAGATATGATGCAAATGGAAGCTAAAACTATGCAAAAGATGCATAAAAGATGTGCTAAAACTATGTAAAATGCAAGTACATCAGGCCACTATGTCTCGATTCCTTGGAGGTTTGAACCGTGAGATACAAGATATTGTGGAATGCAAAATTGTGTGGGTCTTGAATCCATGTTCCACAAGCAGTCTTGGCCGAGACACAATTGAAAAGGAGAAGCTCCACTCGATTCAATTCAGAGCCGCGCCGACCAACCTTTACTCGTGACTCTAAGCCTTTCGCGCCCAAGTCAGAAATGAAACCTCTGGCTACTAATCAAGACAGGAGCCGGACTGAGCGCAACTCCACCAGCCAGAACCCGTGATCTCAAGTGCTTTAGGTGTCAAGGGTTTGGGCATTATGCCTCTGACTGCTTGAACAAGAAAGTGATGATCATCCGACAATGGAGAGATTGAGTCCGAGGAGGATCCTGAGCCGGAGAAACCAGAGAAAGAAGAAGAGCCTGAGGAGTATGAAGCCGTGCCTGTCCAAGGCAGACTTTTGGTGGCCAGACGTGTCTTGAGTACTCAAGTCAGAACTGATCAGGATGAGCAGCGCGAGAACCTCTTTCACACTCGGTGCTTAGTCCAAGATAAGGTGTGCAGCTTGATTATCGATGGAGGAAGCTGTACCAATGTGGCGAGTGAAACTATGGTTGAGAAATTGGGCTTAACTATCAAGGCACACCCGCGGCCTTATAAGCTTAACTGGCTGAATGAAACTGGAGAGATGGGGTCAAGAACCAAGTGGTTGTGCCCTTGTCCATTGGCAACTACAAGGATGAGATCCTTTGTGACATTTTACCATGGACGCCGGTCACATCATCTTAGGACGGCCTTGGCAATCTGATAGGCGTGTGATCCATGATGGATTCACAAACCGCTATACTCTTCTTCATGAGGGCCGTAAAACCACTTTGATTCCTTTGAGTCCACAAGAAGTCTATGAAGATCAGTTACAACTCGCTGGAAAGGAAGTTAAGCCACCTAAATCTCCTAAGCCAAAGAACTTCCTGGTGAAGCCAAAACAGGTTAAACGTTCCTTGAACTTAAACAAACCTTTTCTCTTATTTATATATAAGGAACACTTGATTGGCTTGACTCATACTCCACCGGAGATTCCGAGTGAACTAGCTCAACTTTTGCAGGATTTTAGTGATGTCTTTCCTGAGGATAGTCCACCAGGCTTGCCTCCTGTCCGAGGTATTGAGCACCAGATTGATTTTGTCCCCGGCTCCACTTTACCAAACAGGCCGGCTTACAGAACCAATCCGGTTGAGACCAAGGAGCTTCAGCGCCAAGTGGATGAACTCATGGAGAAAGGCCACATTAGAGAGAGCATGAGCCCATGTGCTGTTCCTGTTCTTCTTGTCCTAAGAAGGATGGAAGCTGGAGAATGTGTGTCGACTGCCGCGCCATCAATAACATCACTGTAAAGTATCGACACCCTATTCCTAGACTTGATGACATGCTAGATGAGTTACATGGCTCTTGCATCTTCTCTAAAATTGATCTTAAGAGTGGTTATCACCAAATCCGGATGAAGGAAGGTGATGAGTGGAAAACCGCCTTTAAAACCAAGCATGGTCTATATGAGTGGCTTGTGATGCCATTTGGCTTGACCAATGCGCCAAGTACTTTCATGCGGTTGATGAATCATGTCCTTAGGTCTTTCATTGGTCATTTTGTGGTTGTTTATTTTGATGATATCCTGATCTATAGCAGGACCTTTGATGATCATCTTAAGCATCTTGCCGCGGTCATGAAAGTCCTTAGGGAGGAGAAACTGTTCGCCAACTTTAAGAAATGCACCTTTTGTACATAACGTTGTGTTTCTAGGTTTTGTGGTGAGTGCAGATGGCGTACAGGTTGATGAAGAGAAGGTCGCAGCTATCCGGGACTGGCCTAGTCCTAAGACCGTTGGAGAGGTCAGGAGCTTTCATGGCTTGGCCGGATTCTATCGGCGGTTTGTTAAGGATTTTAGCACTATAGCCGCGCCAATGACTGAGATTATCAAGAAGGAAGTTGGTTTCAAAGTGGGAGAAGGCACAGGAGGAAGCATTTCAGACTCTTAAGGATCGACTTACTAATGCACCTGTTCTTATGTTGCCTGACTTTCTTAAAACTTTTGAAATTGAGTGTGATGCCTCAGGAATCGGAATAGGAGCTGTTCTCATGCAAGACAAGAAGCCGATTGCCTACTTCAGTGAGAAACTTGGAGGAGCCACTCTCAATTACCCAACTTATGACAAAGAGCTTTATGCCTTGGTCCGAGCCTTACAAACATGGCAACACTATCTTTGGCCGAAGGAGTTTGTTATCCACACTGATCATGAATCACTCAAGCACTTCAAAGGCCAACAGAAGCTCAACAAGAGGCATGCTCGCTGGGCCGAGTTCATAGAAACCTTTCCTTATGTGATCAAGTACAAGAAAGGTAAGGACAATGTCGTGGCCGACGCATTGTCTAGACGGTATACACTTCTCTCTACTCTTGATGCCAAACTCTTAGGCTTTGAGCAAATTAAAGAACTATATGCTTCTGATGCTGATTTTTCTGATATTTATCAAGCATGTTCTAAGTTTGCTTCTGGAAGATATGTGAGACAGGATGGGTTTCTCTTTTATGAGAACCGCCTTTGTGTGCCTAATTGTTCTTTGAGGGACTTGTTTGTCAGGGAAGCACATGGAGGAGGACTTATGGGACATTTTGGAGTTACCAAAACTATACAGATCATGAGAGATCATTTTCATTGGCCACACATGATTAGAGATGTGGAGCGCATATGTGCTCGCTGCACCACTTGTAAGTTGGCCAAATCCAAGGTCCAACCCCACGGTTTGTATACTCCTCTCCCTATTCCATCACAACCTTGGACTGATGTTTCCATGGACTTTGTTCTTGGTTTACCCAGAACTAGACATGGGAAGGATTCCATCTTTGTGATTGTGGATAGATTTTCTAAGATGGCTCATTTTGTTGCATGCAATAAAACTGATGATGCATCTCATGTTGCTGCATTGTTCTTTAAAGATGTCATTAGATTGCATGGCATGCCGCGCACCATTGTTTCTGATCGTGACACTAAGTTCCTTAGTTACTTTTGGAAAACCTTGTGGTCTAAGTTAGGGACTAAGCTTTTATTTTCCACCACTTGTCATCCCCAAACTGATGGTCAAACTGAAGGTTGTAAACCGGACTTTAGGAACCTTGTTGCGTGTGCTGCTTAAAAAGAATCTTAAGAATTGGGATGATTGCTTGCCTCATATAGAATTTGCTTATAATCATTCTGTGCATTCAGCATCTAAGTTCTCTCCTTTTGAGATTGTTTATGGGTTTAAACCCCTGTCACCTTTGGATTTAATGCCTCTGCCTTTGAGTGAAAGATTGAGTGCAGATGGACAGAAGAGAGCTGAGGTGGTGAAGAAGATTCATGAGCAGGCAAAGAAAACATTGAGGAAAAGACAAGCAGTATGCCAAGAAGGCCAACAAGGGACGGCGCGAATTAATCTTTGAGGCTGGAGATCAAGTTTGGATTCATCTTCGCAAAGAAAGATTCCCAGCCGAGCGCAAGTCCAAGCTGATGCCGCGCATTGATGGCCCTTTCACAGTCACCAAGCGAATCAACAATAACTCTTATAGAGTTGATCTCCAAGGTAAGTACAATATCAGTCCTAGTTTTAATGTTGCTGACTTATCTCCTTTTCTTGCAGATGAACCAGATTTGAGGTCAAATCCTTTTCAAGAGGGAGGGGATGATGCGATCATGGATGAGGAGGTTCAGGAAAAGCAGCTTTTGGCCGAGGAAGAAGATGGAATGGAGCAGCTTGTAGCCGCGGATGGACTTGAAGCAGAGCAGCTTGTACCTGAGGAGAGCTTAGCCATTCCAACTGGCCCAATCACTCGTTCAAGAACTAAGGCACTAAACCAAGCAATTGGCAAAGTCCTTAGCGCCATGAACCAACAAGAAACCAAGCCAACCACTTGGTTTGTTTGAAGCCTTACATGGGATAAAAGAGACAAGTGTGACTTGTGTGCTCTTTTTCCCTTGTCAAGTTTTGTCCCACCGGGTTTTCTTGACAAGGTTTTTAACGAGGCCCAAGTCACACTTCCAAAACCCTCTTTTATTTCATGTGCTTAGGTCCGGCCCAAGATTTGAAAGGGAGCGCCAACTGAAGCCGAAGGGTCGACTATCCAGTCTTTGTTTCATTTATGTTTTTGTTTGTTCCGAGATGATTGGAGCCTGTTCCAATCATCCCTTCCTCTTCCCTTCTCTCTCGTTTCCTTTAAAACTCAAACCCTTTCTTTCTTTGAAACTTATCAATCATTTTAATCAAAAACCTCTCTTTTATGTTTGATCACTCATCTGTTCACTTGTTGTGCGTAATATCATCTAAGTCTACAGATTTCCTTTCACTTGTTGTGTGTAATATCAACAAGTCGAAGGTGGTGTTAGAGATTCCAATTCCGCGGGATCTCTAGTATAAGCCACTCGATCCACCCTTCGTTCCATCTTTCATCATTGGATCTTTTGTGTTCCAATCCACTCAAACACTTAGCTTTCAAGCCGATCTAGTCCAGGGGCGTATCAGATGTGGATATGCATGACATTAGAGTCGACAATGAAGATCATGAGAGAACACATGAGTACATGCCAGCACCGGATAGTCAAACCGACGATCTAGACTATGACTATTCCGAGAGAAGGGACTACTCTATGTCGCCTTACTCGTCCTCTATTCACACGCATGGGTCAAGACCTCAAAACTATCTACGGAAGGACGCACTAAACTGGTGGGAGAGTGTGGATCGACAAAAAGGCCAGTATGTCAATACTTGGGAGAAGTTCAAACACGAGTTTGAGCAGAAGTATTTTCAACCAGAAGCACGGGATCGTCTACCTCAAGAATTTCTGAGATTGGAGCAAGGCGAGAAGAGTCTACGAGCCTATGAAGCGGAGTTTATGAGGTTACAGAGGTATGCCTCATACTGTAACGAGGATGATAAAGCCCTGGTGAGACAATTCATGCAAGGCTTAAAACCGGAGATAGGAGGTCGACTACAATCTGTCATTTTCACCAACCCTCATGAAGTGATAGAGAGAGCGGTGAATGTAGAGACATATCTACAAAAGGAGAAAGCGGCGTGGAACAAAAGGAAAATGGAGTTCAACGCAACAACCAAGTCAAAGAAGGGAGGTCAATCTTCTAATCAAGGAAAACCCCACAAGGGTAATCAGAAGTCTGGAAATGGTGATCGAGGATGCTACCCATGCGGAGAAAAGGGACATTTCTCAAGAAATTGTCCTCGTTCCTTCAAGACAACAGAATCTCTCATGCACGTCAGATGCTATCTTTGTGGCGAATTTGGGCATTACGCCACTAGTTGTCCCAACAGAGTTGTTGGAACAGCAGGAGGATCCGGCAAACAAAATGCACCACCCCGACCAATGAAAGTATCCCCGGCTAAGCGTCTAACTTCTTCGGGTAAGGTGTATGCTTTAGAAGCAGGACTGATGTGGAGTCAGGTTTTACCAAACTCCTAGACCTCTGCAAGTGCACAGATCGCGGAAGTATGGGTATCGAACACAAGGACTGGCTATTGAGTACACTTTGAAACTATGGATTTTGGATCAAGCTAAAACAAAAGTATGATTGAGGTTGTAATGGTGAACCGAACTAGCAAGTATAACGAGGTTGTAAATCAATAAAGGAAAAGCGCTAGGTCATAGGGGCTATCGCAGAGAAGCAAGCAATGATCAATGAAACAATGATAGATTAATTGATTAGGGATGTTGGGATATTAAGAACCATCTAGAACACAGATCACGAATATAAAACCATTCCACTTTCGAGGCTCCGGCTCCTTTGTTAATCTACCTAGTCGCTAAACTTTTGGTATGTCCCTAGGTGATTAAATCAAGCTTTAGAATGAATAGGTTCTGATACAGTTCACTAGATATAGTAGATCAACTTTCGCAGTCTAAGAAACCTAGCTTGTCAAAGAATATGTCCGGCGAATGATACACACTGTCGAGGCTCAAATCAACCTAAGATCGGATTACTAGATGCGCGGTAAAGCAATCAGCATTAGTTAAGTGCACAAGACGAGACAAAGACTCTAATATAATCCCTAGCTAATCATTGAAATCAAAGATCATGCAAGCAACTCATTGAATAGTAACCCTAGCAACCTAACTAGTGGATTACTCAGACATGATCAAAGTGATGTACTTGCATTTTACATAGTTTTAGCACATCTTTTATGCATCTTTTGCATAGTTTTAGCTTCCATTTGCATCATATCTTGTTCCTTTTCTCTTCTTATGCATTCATGTTAGTTTTAGGTTGCATTTGCATACATATGCATGTTTGGTCCTTTGAAATAGGTCTTTTGGAGCATTCTGGAGCATATGGACATGAGGAGCATGGAGGGACTTGGCACATGGAAGCAGCTCAACTGGATACGCAAAGGAAGAAGGGAGAAGCCATCTTGAAGACCAGCTCGACCGTCTACTCGACCAACCGGTCGAGTTCCTCAACTCGACCGGCCAAGCTTCAACTCGATCGAGCTGGAAGTCAAAGTCAAACCCGAAAAATGTTGCTTCCCCCTTGACTTCCTTTGACCCTAAACCTAATCCTCTTTGTATTTAAAGGCTCTAAGCCACGAAAAAACCACCAAGCTTTAGATTATTTTGTTTTAGTTTCTTTTAATTTATTGTCTTTTACTTTTTAGAGATCTAATCCCATCTTTGTGTTCTTGAAGCTCTTGCTTCTTGAATCCTAGATCCTGGATAATCTCTCTTTGTATTTGCACTTGCTTATTTCAATAAAAGTTGTTTAATTTCATCTCCTCTTTCTTATGATGTCTCTTTTATTGCATTTGCTTGTGTTTACATTCATGTGTAGTGAGTAGTTACCCATTGGGGTTTGAGATGGGATAGATTAGAGGTTTCATATGCTTAATCCTTCTAGCTTATGGTCTTAATCTAGATTCTCTCTCTTTTGGATAGATCTTAAGGCTACATGACCACTACCCCTGGCTTGTAAGTCCTTAGGCGACTCCCCACACGAAAGTGATGGCATTCGCTGGAAAAGATCCACTAAGAGCTCCAATATCTCTTGCTCTAGACATAGAGGTCTAAGGGGTTGGATGGATTAGTTTGGGCAATGATCCTATAGCCTCCAAGGTTTGATTCTCACTGGCTAACCCCCTGTTTCTGAGATCATTCCTTGGTTGATAGCCTCCACCTTGGGAAAGGGTTGGCTAGGCATTGAGAAGCCCAATATCAAGAGAAGCCTTGATACAAGGAGTTTTAAGAGCTAGATTGATTAAGTGTAGATTCCTTTGATTGCAAAACCCTGTCTTGAACCCTAATTCTCTCTTTATCTTGTTAAAGTCGTCACCTTTAGCTTTGTTTGTCTCAACTCGTCCCTAAACTCGATCGAGCTGGTACTTTGTCTACTCGACTCGAGCTCTTGGTCGAGCTGACTTCACTGCTTTGTTTACTTTTATTGCACTGCTTTTCATTATTTAGGTTGTTAGTGTTACTTCAAATCTATAACTGCTTGCTTGACTTTCTGGTTGTTTCATATTCTCAAAGAGTGACAAGTTTCCCATTTTGGATTGATAACCTCTTATACTTCAATGACTATGATGGTTAAGAGGAATTGATTGATTGTGATTGCACCATACCATATCATCTTTATTCACCCCTGTTTGCATTCCACCTCATTTCATATATCACCCACACACAAATCCTATCATCACAAACACACATAGAGATGAAGAAAACATGATTGCAATAAAACTTAGAGTAGGAAATCGAAATACAAGGCGGCTCTCTTTTCACAAGAGGCTAAAAATCTATATATATAGTGCTAGGTCTTCTTGAGGCGGCTTAGGGTTAAGCCGGGCTTGAAAATATGAAATCGGGCTTCAAAACGGGCTTCGGGTCGACCGCGGCGTTGGGACGGTCGGTCGGGACGATCGGCCGGACAATCGGGTCTGGCCGAGTCGGAACGGTCGTGGCCGGATGATTCACGGTCGGCCGGCGTGGTCGAGCGGATAGAGATTTGGCCGATGGTTCTCGGCCGGACGTGGGACGTTCTTCCCCGGCTCGGACGGATGCATCGGCGTGGTACGCGAAAGGTTGCGCGGCCGCGAGGCCTTGTTCCCGGCTCGCGCGGCATGGTCGTGCGCGGCGTGGCGTGACGTTGTGCGTGGCCGACCGCGGGCAATGTTTCCCGGGTCGTGATGCGTGATCGGCCGGTCGGTTTTGAACTTTGGCCGAGACTTCAGACGGACGGATGGATTTGGCCGAGCGCGAACATAGTTTCTCGGCCAGCCGGTCTGCGCGGTTGGGCGCTGATTCTCGATAAGCCGTCTGGACAGTCTCCACTCTTTTGGTTATAACTCCGTTTCTACTCATCCAAATTAGGCCGTTCCAGTTGCGTTGGAAAGTTAACTCAATCAGAGCACGCAGGGAACTGGTCTTGATGAAATCCATTGAGTAGATCTTTTTCTGGGCCCTCTTAAAGTTGGTGCTTGTGCATGGAGCGGCTTGAAGTGCAAATCCTATGGTTTTGCTCCAAAATGCATCATTTCACCTGTTTAGACTCTAGACACTATAAACACAGTAAAACTACCTTTTTAGATAGAAAACCTGCCAAAAACCATTAGAAAACAATACTAAAACAGTATAAAAAGTGGGTAAATTAGAGGTATATCAACTCCCCCAGACTTAGATCTTTGCTTGTCCTCAAGCAAAAAGAATCTAGATCCGTGAAAGAGGTTTGAAAACGTGGAAGCTCCCTTGCTCTTTTGAATATCCTGTGAAAGGTTCCTTTCCTGTATTCCACTATGAACATAGACAACATAAGGTTAGCTTCACATACACCCTGCAAGTTTAGC